GGTTAATGGATTAATGTTGGACTTGTGGGCTTGGGCAGCACTGGGTTGGGATGTTTTCGTGATGCACCTTTTCTTTACATAAAACTCTCTCTTATACGTGAGTCGCTGTGGATTTGTTTCTCCAAAGTACCCAGACTAATACAGCCATCTAGTCCATGACACATAGGGCCTCAGAAAGCCCGTGGGCAGTTCTCCTCCGTCCTGAGGGTGGCCACGAGCCGAGCCCACTGACAGCAGTGGGTCTGGCAGTCACAACACTCTGGTGAGCTAGCATCTGTGAACCTACGTCATTTATTTCTCTCGTTTTTTAGGAGGAAGTAATAACTAAATCAAAGGAAGAATCATGAAATACTGTTTTTAAAATAATATGGTTAGTAATGCTCTAAGTCAATGTGGAAATTCAATGTAACAAAACCATTCAGTTTCAAGAAGTTCATCAAAAACCGAAATTAAAGGACAAAGACCAGGACACTCTAGAGAGGGAGCTGGATTAATAAGCACCTGCGGGCACCACAAGGGAGGAGAGGGAATGGGAGATAACTGTGAGCACGAGAAGAAAACATCCTGAAGTGATTGTGGTGATGATGGTACAACTCTCTGCACGTGATTGGACGATGAACTCACATGATGTGAAGTATGTGCCAATAAAACTTTTTTTTTTTAAAGATAGTGAGATTTTCCACCAACTTGGGGCAGCCCCTTGTATTTCACTTAAACAATTTCTAATACTCATTCCCACATTCTTCTATGGTCCAAACGGACAATAAGCATTACTGAGGGGTCTGTAGGGTCTGGGGCAGGGTTGACACTGGGGTGACCCCATGGGGTGAGACCCACTCCGTTGACCAGCCTCGTCACGCTGTGAGTGACCGTGATCACATGGGAAGCACAGAGCTGTGTCCGGCCGGTGGTGGGCAGGAAGCCTCACTGCAGAAGGGAGGCCAATCCGACTGGTTCTTACACCAGTGCAGGACACCACCTCCCAGGGTGGGCCATGAACAGGTGCCCCACGGGCCCTCCTGCCTTTCTTCTGAGGCATCTCGGGGGAGGTCTGAACTGCCAGCCTTTCGGTGAGTGGTCTGGTGCTTTATCACCTGTGCCACCGAGGACTCCGATCTGAGAAGAGGCTGTCGTTGTTCAAACTACCAGTGATTGATCTGAGGAGACGCGGGACAACCACCATCTTAATGGAAGGGGCAATCGAACACCAGAGGTTCACAACCTGGGGTCACGACCCCTTTGGGGGGCAAATGACCCTTGTACAGGGGTTGCCGATCCATAACAGTAGCAAAATTACAGTGATGAGGTAGCAACGAAAATAATTTTATGGTTGGGGGTCACCACCACATGAGGAACTGTATTAAAGGGTCACGGCATTAGGAAGGTTGAGAACCACTGGGCTACAGGAAGGAAGCCCGATTCAGTGGCTACAGGCAGCACCATGGTACGACAATCCAGCTGCCTGGGATGCGTGCACCCATACACACGTACAGCCGCATAGCTGCTCAGGGAGTGCTGCAATGTTCCAGAACGAGCATGCCAATGGCTAACACCTCCTGAGTAAACAAAAACCCACTACTTGAACGACTGAAAATGGTGGTTTTTATGGTATGTGACTAACACCTCCATTTCATTTTCACGAAATCTTTATCTGACCCAAGGTATCCTTTCACATTTTGGCGTCTCGTCTCAAGTCTCCACAATGTGGTCAGGCTTTTGAAAACCCAAAGGAGGAAGACACGATGTTTAATGTTTCAGGGAAGGAAAACAAATGTCTGTAGCCCCAGTCAAGTCCTCCTGCACAGACTCGGAAGGGTCCCTGCCCCACCCCACCCTGCAGCTGCTGGCCTCCAATGGCCATGATCACCTTGGCTACTCTTGGACTGCCTCTCAACCTCTCCTGCCACCCGGGCCTGGTGGTCCCGGCAGTGTGGAAAACCTTTCACTGAAAACTGTACGGCCTGCCTTGCTAGGAATTCCTGGTGGTGCGGTGAACACCAGCCAGGGCAGCGGCTGGCCCACACAAGCAAGCTGAGCTGGCTGCTCCCACCAAGACGCCCAGCCTTGGAAGCCCATGAGACAGCTCTACTCGACCTGACAGGGCGAGCATGAGTCGAAGCCGTCTTGGGCACAGGGAGCTCTTTGGGTCTTCTGAGGTGCTTGTAGGTGGGTTTGAACCACCAGCCTTTCAGTTACTGGAGGTGCTTAGCCCAGAGTGCCACCCTGGGCAGATGCTGCACTGGTGTGCAGGCCTTCTGCCATCAAAACACCCAGCTCTGGCCTGCAGCAGCGTGGCTCTGGACCGGCCCTCCAGGAGAGAAGGTCTGCTCGCCTCTCTGGCCCTCGCCCTGCTCCTGGTGCCCCCTCCTCTGGCCATACACACCATCATCGTCTCGACTGGCCCAGCCCCTGTGGTTCTGCCCAACACAGCCAGTTATCAGTCCGTGGTCAGGACAAACCTGGACGAGCTGCCCTGACACTGTGGCTACAACAGGGGCTCCACACAGGAACAACGGTGAGGACGACACAGGAGTGGGTGCTGCTCTGTTGTGTGTCAGGGTCACTGTGGGTCAGAGCCACGGCGACACCTACCATCAGCAGCATGGTGTTGCTGTCACCTTGCAGACACATGTCACTTCTATCACTGTTTTACACTGATGATTAAAAAATGACTTTGATGGGTTTTATGCAATCTTGACTGCGGAGCTCTAGAGGTGTCGTGGGTATGCATCGGGCTGATAACGGAAAAGCCAGCAGTTCAAATTCACCAGCTGCTCCTCAGTAGAAAGACAGGCTGTCTACTCCCATCCAGAGACACAGTCTCGAAAACCCACAGGGGCGGTTCTAGCCCGTACCACAGGGTTGCTGTGAGTAGGAACCAACGTGGTGCAGTGAGCTTGCTTTGGTTTGGCGGGGCTGGATCCCACGACATGATCTAGCACAGCGTGGTCAATGCCACGGTGTGATCTTCTGTGACGCAGCCCCTCAGCTGTAGTGCAGGGCGGAGCAGGAACAGGGTGGAGGTGCCACCTCCTTAACCTGCCCTGATACAATTAAGGGAGGGTGAGGTGTGGCCTACTCTCAGCACAGACTGGCACAGTGTGTAAGCTAGCTCATTCCTACTGCTGGATCTGGACCCTGCACTCGGTTTGTCCGTCAACCTCTGAAGGGACTGCTCACCTCAGGCCCATTCGGCTCTGCACGCACCAGCCTGCGATGTTCCTGCTTCCTGCTTATCGGTCCCTGCAGCTAACACAGGCCAGAAGAAGCTCCCAGCTGACATCTGACCCACAGCTTGGACCGGCCTGGATGTCCTCACTGCTACAACTGTGGGAGGCCTTTCTGGACATGTCTCTCTCTGTATCCACACACATACAAGAGTGACTGGTTTATTTCTCTAGAGACCCCAGCCTAACATAGTGCCCACACAAATCTATCTGGCTGAGTTCTGAAAACCACACAAGAGTGAGTGGCTGCCTGGAGCAGTAAACTCTCTTAGGATCAAAGTGCGACGAAGTAAAGAGACCCCTTCAACCCATGGAAATCTAAACCCATTAAACTTCAAACCATCAGAGTTAGTAAAAGAGCTCAGCACAGTTGCAAGATACTGGATCACTGTGCCAAATTCTGCATATTTTTATACATAAGCAACTAAAATTTTGAAATGAAATTAAGACAATTCCATTTATGATTGATTTTTATCTGGGGGAGAAAACACACTTCAAAAAAGAAAAGTTCAAGGCGATGAAAGGCGTGCACACTGAGAACTACAAGAGGCCGCTCAGAGGAGGAAAAGAAACCCTGAGACACGGGAAAGAGCCTATGCCCAGGGACGGGGCAGCGCCGCCGTCTCCCAGGGGCCAGACTCAAACCA